TTCACCGCTTAAAGCAAGTGGGACAAAAGCAGTACTATCASTCATATCTGCAGATGGGAAACAGAGGCACAAAGAGCTCTGAGTGACTTCATGCAAGGTTATAAAAGAAGCCTGTGGCAGAGCCAGGAACGGAGCCGGAAGCCCCGAATCCATAGCCCAAAGCCTGTAGATACTGAGACAATCCCTCCTTTTTCCTGTCTCCTCTCTTTCTCTCCCTTTACTTAATTAGTTATCTAGCAGAAGAAACATAGTAACACCGTGACAGTCCATTTTCTTTTTCTATTTATAATCTCTATTAAATTTTACCTATTTAACATAGGATACAAAAGCATTACAGGAAAAAAGTTAAAATTGTACAAACAATGGTAAACGTATAACCAGAATTTGGTGTSTCAGAGAGCATGAGAGGAAATGAAAATGTGCATGTGGGATTTAGAGACACACTAATTCTCCTGCACTTCTCCAAGTGTCCTCTGTCTACTACYGCAGGGCATTAACAGACACCCATCRCCACTTTCTCGGATTAAAGGACTTCACGCATAAAACTTGCRYCCTGCTTCTGCTTACTTCCATGAGAGGGAACACAATCAGGAACATACTTAAAACTGAACGATCTAAATACTAAGATGCACTTTTTTGTTGTTTTTAATAAGAAGGAGAAACAAATGTTGTACAAATTCATACAAATACAAGCCCCAAAATCTGCCATCAAGCAAGTAATAATTTTCTAACCTACCAGGACAGAAATCAATCATGAAAATTGACTGCTTCTTACAAATTTCAACAACTATGTTTTTCCCCAAATTGTGTTCTTTGCCATCCAACCTGTTCATCACAGACTAGGTTTCTTCTAGGAGCATGCTGACCAGGGGGTGTTTAATGATACAACATTCTTATCTCCTCTCGCTTAGAGCTGATCAAAACGTTTATTCCAAACCATTCCTGCTACTATGCTTGGCTACCTCCATGTGTGTTTTCAGTCCTTTGTTAGTGTTACTGATCTACAAATGGCACATTTTCAACCACATTAAGAGTTTCCTGGTGACAAAGTCCCTGCTGGGATATTAGCTGGCCAAGGCCTGTGGTGACGACAACAGCAGCATTCATTCCAGATCCTACCAGACCTATGAATCCTGCTGAAGGGTCTGCATTTTCTCCAAGGCATTTGGGATGAAAGAAAAACAACCGCTGAAGCCAAGCACTGAGCCCAACAGCTAGTCAGAGGAGCTCAAGTCCTCACCAGCAGAAGGTGGCCCAGGGTCCCTAGTGCCCCAACATGTGCGCTGAGCTCAAACACCTGGCTGCTGGCAGGAAGGGGGAGGGGAAAAAAAAAAAAAAAAGGAAAAAAAAGGCTCTGCTTTCTTCCTTTTGGGCATTTTAGCTGCTTCAGCGGTTCCCAGGCATGTCCACAGCTGCTGCAGGACTATGGGTGCAGGGCTTGGAGTTTTCCTATTATTTTCCTGGGTAGAGACAAGCATGAGAATGGAAATGTGGCTTGATAATACAGTGTAGCACGACTAAGCTTAATAGGAATTCATGTAACAAACTTCTGCTATTCAGTTTTTCTTTTATCTGCAAGTTAGAAGAGCTCACTGCAAACATCTGAGATGTTAGTGATTCCCAAGAGAAAAACAAAGCATTAGGAGCACACTGAGCAGGAATTTAGTCAGATTTAGTCAGTCAGGTAGGAAGTTCCCTTCAACACCTGAATAAACATCTTCTAATTTACGTAATGATCCTTTATCACTTTCCCTCAAGGAGAATTCACCAGAAGTGATATTGCTGGAGGTTTCTCCAGTTTTCCAACAGAGTAAAGACAAGGGGGGGGAGGGGGAAAGGGAAAACATTCTGAGGGCTTCTCTACTGTCTGCATCACACACTTTTTCAGTGACCTACAGTACAACACATTGGAATTACACTGTCAATATTCATTCAGCATAAGAATCAGCACTATTTATCAGGGCTAACCTTTGAGATGCCCACATGTTTGACAAGGTCTATTATTCACTTATTTCTGCCTACCYACACTCAATTCAGAGAACACTCTCCATCAAAAATAAACCATAATAGGCTTCTCAGACTATGTAGACCACTTGGCTAAAGATTTCACTGAGAAGACAGCTCATACGTTAAGAAACTACTTGGACTATAAAGAAAGTAGCAGGAGAATTAGTATGTCTTAGGCATATGTGAATTTGAGAAAACACACATGTATCATCTTAATGTCATCTTAAGATAAGCCTGTCTTCTCGTTGAGATGCTAAAGCATACCTCCAATGGCTACTGACTGACATAGTTAAGTTTAAGACTTCTTCAATAAGCATGCACAGTAAAACAACCTTAAAAGAACTTAATGCTTACATTCGTACACACATACATACACTTGACATACTTTTGTAAAAAGTGAGAAAAATCATGATGAGAACATAAACTTGAAAGCAAGTACACTATATATTTTCACATCATCTTATTAAAGAAACAAGGCTCGTGATCATGCAGCCCTTGACTAGCCCCCAAACACTTGCTCCTGATGGTCATTTCTAACAGCAGGCTGCAGGTCTTAATACCCTTAGGAGCTGTCAAAGTAGAAAGGTTTTCACTAAAGAAAGCACCAAATTAGCCCCCACACAAAAGAGCGCGCTGTGGCCTGAGCTTAACTATTATGTGTCCTTCTCAGGCAGCTGGTGGCTGGGAGCAGAGCCATGGGGCAGGCAGCAAACAGAGCTTCCCGTCAGGTAGAGCCCTGCACTGACTTGGTCCGACCAGCTTCCAGGGAAAGGAGCAGGGGGCGCATAGAGCAAAACAGAGGGGAACCCAGTTATTATGGTGGTGCAAGGGCCTAAAGATTGCGGCGGGGAAGAGGGTGACGGCAGGGGGGACACGTGAGCGATGCCCGCGCGGCTCAGTGGCTCCGCAGGGCTCCAGGCTGCTCAGCCCTTTGGTGTTTACTGCAGCGCGTCGCCGCACACGGACATGGACTGTGGACACGGAGCGCAGCGCACGGGGAGCCAGCGACGGGGCCGGCTCAGCCGAGACAGCCCAGCAAGCCCTGCTGCACCGCAYGCCGTAGGAGCCGCTGCTGAAAATTACGGCATCCTCTGAAAGGGCATTTACGAGTTTAGCATTTCTTCAGGGTATAAGCTGAATGTTTATGACTTGACAGCCCTCATCTACATTCACTTCATTTAGTGTAACAGCAGCTTTCATTTATTAGCTCCCCTTCAGCAAAATTAGTTCAAGAAATCTGACCCTGCCACTCATCTCGAAACAGATTTTGTTCCTCGACTCCCTAAGTGGAATTGCATTCATAACCATCTGTATGCTACAGTTGGCAAAACAAATAGAGCATTCACCTCAACATTGTCCTTTAAACTGGCATTTTATTTTCTGTTCTTTTTTTGTCTTAAAGCCCCTTTTCATATAGCAAGTTCCTCCTTGCTCCTCCTCCCTACCCTTCACAGTTAAGCTTACATTCTTGAATCACTGTCTTTCTGATACAGAAGGACTTTGGACTAAGTGCACAGAAGATGAGCACATCGTTTTTCCCCTTCTCTCAAAGGAAAGAAGACATAGGAATGCTTGTTWTAGCTTAAGGAACTTTGAAACCCTGGAAACAAAGATGTATTCAGACTTATTGTAAAGTGCTCAAGTCTACTAATTCACTGAGTATCAGTGAATTGCATGAGGAATCCACATGGTCACAATTTTGATGGCACATGGTATAACATAACTCATAAACTGAAGCAACTTGAAGCAACATTCCATATGTTATCACTTTCCACTCTAGAGAACATCTGGAAATGCAAATGCTGCACAACAGGATATTGTAGAACATTAAAAAGAGGGCAAAATATTCTATATTCAGATTTATTATTTTTCTAATAAGTCTCGGAGAAATTCTGCAGTGCAGTCACTGACATATGTAGWACATTGCTGCACCAGAAACCTTTAAGAGCAGAAGTAATCTTTGAAATCAGAGTTATTTACTATGGTCTACGTGACAGTACATAAAGAAGTTGCACAGGTATTTTGCTCCAAGTTGAAGCACAATGGGAAAACACCCAGCCACTTGCAAATTCACTTCAAACACTGGAGCTCTGAGTGTACAGGCTTCATAAAATGTGTAGCAAAGCCTTTCAAAGAAGCTAGGCTGCCTTGTTATTAGCTAAAACAAGCAAGCTCAGTCAATTCCTAAAATGATTTTTCCAAACATGGCTTCCAGAATAGATAACCATAAAAGAGGCTACTGAAGCCTTTAGTATAAGGTATGCCAGAGTCTACAGCTTACATGGACTTGTAAGGACAGGAATACAGACATAAGGCATTTTTCCCTCCATTACAGCACACAGATTCTGTGATTATTTAGAAGGAAAAAATATTTAGAGAATATTTTTTTAAGAAGGCAAGAAAATAAAACTAACTATATTAAGGGAAAAAAAAAAAAGGAAGTGAAAATCTAGCTCCTTAGAAGGCAATGGCAAAACTTCGATTAACTTCAACAAGAGCAAGTTTCTAAGCATTCATTATATCCAGCCTAAAAGAACYTCACTGCTCATCTGAATCATTACAGGAAGTACAACAGCCAAAATAAAGTCTCCAGTCTTGCAGCTGACAAACCAGGAACAAGTTCAAGTGTTCTGCTTCACGTGTTTATCCTTAAGCTTTCCTTACACAAGCTTTTGACATAAATCATCTTGTTATGACTATTTAACTTCCTTTTAATAAGACATTTAAGGTATAGAGGTATTCTTCTCCCTACCTCATCAACTGAAGGTTCAAGAAGAAAGGATAATCCTTAACTAATTGGTATTTACAGAACAGTACACCAATACTGACTTTGCCAGAAGTCTACAACAGGACTCCCAACTATTTTGTTCTACCACTCGAATCCGATTGCCTTTCTTCCRAAGGGAAAACCACCAATTGCAAAGTGGAAAAGTGCAAAAAAAGATAAAATTGYAACAAAACACCACCTCTGCAACACAAATCTTGGTCCTTACCCTAACAGGAGGGCTCCGTGCTTGCACTCTTTGCTGCTGTCCAGCTTGAGCGCTCTGCAGCTCCTTCGATCCGCAGTTTGCAGCAGTGTTGACCGGGACCCTCAACGCAGTTGTGCTACCAGTCCCACCACCAGCGCCAGGTTTCCGAGGCCTCTGTTTGATGCCATCCAGTAGTCTGACAAGCAAAATATTACTGGGCAGCTCATCAACAGCGCAGTCCACCAAAGTCCTGCACTCCGGGCACCGAAGCTCATTGCGGGAGCTCACGATGCCCAGCAGGCAGCGCTTACAAAACGTGTGCTGGCAAGGCAGGACCTTGGCAGAAGCATCGAGGCGTTCTAGGCAAACGGGACACTCCAGCAGGTCCAGCAGAGCTGATTCATCCATTTTCGTTGCGTTACTCAACCGGAAAAGCAAATCTTTGCAAAATTTGTGTGTTTTGCGCACTCCAAGGATATCATGTTACATCCATTCCTCTTCCAGCTGTGCTCTGAAATTTTCTTTTAGGGTTAAGAAAAAGACATTAATAACCTGAAAAAGACAGCCAGGAGGATTGTGTTATCTGAAGATAATTCACACAATGAGCAAAATAAAAGCTCTCTAACTTAACACAAATCTTTATAAACAAACAAACAAACAAAAAATGCTACATGAAGGGAACTCTTAAACAGCAATAAATACTCAACAACAATAGCAGTTTAGGTTAACACAGACATCTAGTTAAAATATTACAGCAAATACTAATAAATGCTAATTCTTCTGATATTATTTCTGGGGAAACCGTCAGTTTTCTCAAATAATTCCAGAAYACACAGATGCCTCCCCAAGGCACCATGCTAAAAAGGCAGGAACTACAAAATAAATCCCATCCCGACACAGCTGCACGCTGAACRTTCACGTGAGGCGGCTTTCCCCACAAGGAGCGGTGGGAAATGTGGCAGTCCTTGAACTGCAGTTAGTGCCACACGCGGCAGGCCAGGAAGGCAGGGAACAGCCCGGGGGATCCGTGCTGGGAGCAGAAGCCACTTGTACCATTCCCAGGACCGCTGGGAAAGGTGAAGCAACAGATTTCGGGGAGCAGCCCTGGGAGCTGCCAGCGGCTCACAGGCTCCGGGGCTCCCGGCGCCGCTGCCTCCAAACGGCACTTCCCAAGCAGCGCCCGGCGCTCCCGGCAGGAAGTGCTGCTGGAATACCGCTGGCAGAGCGCGAGCGGGGACGGAGGCCGGGGCAGGCTCTTCCAGCACTTGGATTTACACGGCAAAGGGGCTGGCGGAGGGCGAGGAAGGGAGGGACGCGGAGGACAGAGGAGGGAAGGCGAAAAGGGCAATGGAGGAAGGGGGGACGCTCGCCAGGAAGTGGCGGGAGGCAGCTCAACAGGCGGCGCCGAGGGGCTCGCCGCGCTGCCCGGAACGCGCGGCCCGGGGC